AAGCCGCATCGCTTTCTCCCTTGGAGTGACCGTGGTTTCAAACTTAGATTGCAGCAAAAATGCATACCCACTAGATCACCAGGGCTCCTCCGTGGTCATACTACTGAAATGGTAACTCATTGTGATTTTGATAACCATATGGTCAGTGATTCAGACGCCAGCTTCTCGGTAGTAGAAAGGTGAAGATATCTGCTCCCGTAAAGATTTATGAGATGAAACCTGTTTTAGGGTTGATGTGAGTCAGCATTGGCTCTATGGCCATGGGAATGTCTTCTTTGGTGAACTATCTCTTCAAATCCTTTGTCCATTTTATGGTTGGGTTATGGGTCTTTTAATAGTTGTTAAAGTTTTGTTTATATTTTGGTTATTAGGTTCTTGTCCCATATGACTTTTAAAAAACATTCTCCTAGTTCGCTTGTCTTTTCACTTTTTGGTAGTCGTTTGATCAACAAAAATTATTTGTTTTTTACGAGGTTCCAGTTATTTTGTCCTTCGGTGATTGTGCTTTTGTTACTGGGTAATACAGTGTTGAATGCTAGGCCTGACAGTGTTGGCCCCTGCTTATTCTTTAAGAGTTTTGTGGGTTTTGTTTGCACGTTTAGGCTCTTAATCCATTTTGAATTCGCTGCGTGTGTAGCATGAGGCATCACGAGGCATGGATATGTTTTATTTTTCTGTATGTACAAATCTAAGTTTCCACACCATTTATGGAGGAGACCCTTATTTTCTGATCCAATGAACTTAGCACCCTTTTCAAAAATCTGTTGCCCCCAAAGTGGATAAATTTCTGGATTTGAATTCTATTCCACTGGCCTACATGTCTACAGTTTTATCAGGCTATTTTGATTACTATAGGTCGATGTGTAGTGTATTTTAAAATCAAGAAGTGTGAGACCTACTGCTTTGTTCTTTTCTTTCAGCATAGTTTTAGCTATTCAGGACTTTTGGTGTTGCCATGTAAAGTTGAAGATTGGTTTTTCTATCCCCCCTCCCTCCCAAAATTTTATTGGCATGTAATTCATATGTCAAGCAATTCAGTAGTTAGTCACATCAAGGTGGTTTTTAAAAAAACCTCTGTAAGGAAGGCTATTGGGATTTGGATCAGGATTTTGTTAAAATTATAAATTACTTTGGGTATTATTGACATTTTAACAATAATACATTTTTTTGTCTACAAACCTGGAATATCTTTCCATTTATTTAAGTCTTCATTCATTTCTTCCAGTGGTGTTTTATAGTTTTGTTTTTTTATAGTTTTCAAGTATATGCCCTTCATGTTCCTGGTTAGAGTTATTCCTACGTATTTTATTGTGAGGTGCTCTTGTAAATGGAATTGTTTCCCTAATTTCCATTTCAGATTTCTCATTGCTGGTATATGAGGGGACCTCAAAAAGTTTGTGGGAAGATGGAATTAAAAAATAATGGAGCGCCTTTGAAGGAAATTTTTGTTTGTTGACTGCAACTTTGCTAAATTCCTCTATTTGCTCTAGAAGTTTTCATGACACTGGGAATTTCTATATATAGGGTCATATCATCTCCGAATAGGGATGTTTTAGACGTCCCACCCCCATGCAATCTGGATACCTTTTATTTCTTTCCTTTGTGTCTATTGCTCTGACTAGGACTTCTAACACAATATTGAACAGGAGGGGTGAGAGCTGGCACTCTGGTTCCTGATTTCAAGGGCAAATCAAGCTCACAGTCATTCTTGGTTATGTAAAGTGCTGATTGTTGGCCTTTCCTATATGCCGTGAATTATCTTGAATTTCCCTTCTGCTCCAGTCTTTAGAGTTTTCATCAAGAAAGGGTGTTAGGTTTCAGCACTGCCTTTTTTGCATCCATCGAGATGATTTTGCAGTTCTTT